AATATTCGACTCCAGACCTTAATACCACTCCCCGAAAGTCCAGGTGTTCTCGTTCCTATCATTTTATGATTTTAATTACGAAACATACTGATTCCGCTTTATCCCTAAAAAATAGCTACATTAAACGCTACTAAAAGCTAAATATCCACACTGCCCTGCGTCAACTGCAATAGTCAACGGGCAAATGAAATTCAACAAGGGCAATTTGGTAAAATGACAAAACTGTCGGTCTCCCTCAAACTCTGCCACCTCGGGTTAAATTAACTAGAGTCCCGGGTTAAGCCGAACCGCTCGTGAGTCTCCATCTGGAAATCGAGCGTCGGTGACTCGGAGCGAGTTAACCAGGAGTCAGAAATTAAAATTTATTTTTAAAAGACTGAGAATAGAGATAACAATTTCAATAATTATTTTTCAATATATATATATTTTTTTTTATGGAGAGAGAAAATATGGGAAGGAGAGGGAGAGGGAGATTTTGGTATATAAGGCATTGAAGCAGTTCTGCAATGCGTCTCCAAATTGGGAGAGAAAGGGAGAGATAGAGAACGGAGGAGGAAGAGGAGGAGAGGGAAGGAGCGGAAAATGGCGGATTCTAGCGATTCAGTTTCCATTGGCATGGAAACGATCTCTCTTGGCGGAAAGGTAACCTGCATTCTGGTTTTTTTACATTTGTGTTCCTGATGTTGATTCTGTGAACTTGTTTGTTTTCTTGGAAAATGCGGGAAAAAGAAATGGAAAATGCTGTCTTGGTTTAGCTTAATGCAAACGTTTTGCTTTGCTGGAATGAGTGTTTATCGTGTTTGGTTTCTGAAGCTGAAGAGAATAGTTGAGATGTGTCTGAAATAGAAGTTTCAGAAAAGAAGTTTGAGTCATACAAGCAGAGATACCTTAGCTACTTTTATTATTATTTTTTTGATATTGTTGTTAATCCTTCATCCTATCTTTGCTGTTTTTAATACTGTCGGTGGATTTTTGAAGATAAGAAGGAAAAAAAATGTTTGTTTTAACTCTTGAATTATGATTTCCAGATATGAGATATGAAAATGCTGTTATTTTCAATGAATGATTCTGTTGAAAGCATAATCTATTCATATCCTCTTTTTTTTTTTTTCTTTTTTTTTTGGGGTAGAAATTGATTCATGTGGGCAGAAATGGATTGGTTATTTGGAACTTGTTGTTTGATGTACATGAGAAATAGTTTTATCGATGTTATTTCGTGTTCTAAGAAATTTGATATGGTTAGTTGGCTGTATTTTTTGTCATATCTCGATAAGTTCATGGACTAGGAGTAGTCAGTTTATACACGAAATCTCATTTCAGTTAGGCACGCTAATGTATCAAATATGCTACAGAAGCAAAATACTTAGGTACCTTAAAGTGAATTGCTGTACCGTGAAACATGCTTGGCTTTGGTATACCTGAAATGCCTCACTTTAAAAGTTAATTAACACCCAAAACGTGGTTCACCACTTTGATGGTTGGTTTATCACATGGGCTCTCATTACCTGGCTAGAAAACATGCTTTATTTTTTTAGACTAATTATTTTCAAAGTTCTGTCTCTGCTTTCCATGTAGTTGTTTATAGTTCACTCTGCTTATTTTTGAAGTTTTGGCTTTGCTTTCTCTTTGTGGTGGTTTAGGGTTCACTCCATTAATTGGTTGCTTTCCATATGCAGGAGCACATTATAAAGACTCACTTTGGTTCTGTCTCTGTTTCTGTGTTTGGAGACCAAGACAAGCCAGCCCTTGTTACCTATCCTGATTTAGCTTTAAATCGTAAGTGGCATATCAGGTTACTCTTAGTTTTTGTTGCGCTTCCAGTTTTGCATTATTTAGCGTTTGACAGTGGTTTGGTTTTCTTTTATACACATGCATATAAAAATTGCTCTTCCAATATGTTATTTCCTATTTGGGTGAAAAAATTATGATATTTCTTCCAAGTCCTAATTTATGAGATATTTATTTTCAAACTAAGGTCCATAAGAAAGTATATCCATCTTGGTCAGCAATGTTTTTAACTTGAACTAAAAGTTTAAATGCTTCCGAATTTCTACAATCACCAAGTTGTTTCATCCAGTGATAGCTGCCTGGTTCTAGCATAAGCTTTTTCTATTGTGTTGACTGTGCAGATATCTCTTGCTTTCAAGGCTTGTTCTTTTGTCCAGAAGCATGTTCCTTGCTTCTTCACAACTTCTGTATATATCATATAAGTCCCCCTGGGCATGAGGTCAGTTCTAATTTTTTCCCCTTGTGCATGCACGTATGGAGGGTTGCGTGTGCGTGCCGTTGGCTTTACCATTCTAATAAGTTATTTGTTGAATCCTGTAATTCACATCTTTCTTATCCGGTCTTTTCTTCAAGAGCAATTGCAGTTGGGAGCTGGCCCAATCAATCCTAATCACTATGTGCTTTCTGTTGATGATATAGCTGATCAGGTTGCTGAGGTTCTCAACTTTTTTGGGTAATGACATTATCAATTTTTCTCTTTTTACTGTCTTTTGATTCGGATATTTTGTTTTATCACGGTTGTACTAGTTCTCTGAAAATGATGTAAATTGGAAATGCTACTTATATAGAAGGTCTAGAGCTGTCATTTCCTTGCCATATTGCTCTCATCTATTTAATTATTTGTGAAAGAATAAAGGATAGTGAACTTATGAACTTGTTTTTTTTTTTTTCCTCTTTTAATTTTTTACGCAGGCTTGGTGCTGTTATGTGTATGGGAGTTACAGCTGGAGCATATGTTCTCACCCTATTTGCAGTAAGTAAATTCACTTTTCAAAGGGCGTGCTATTTTCTTTTTTTTTTTTCTTTTTATCAAATAAATAAATAATAAAATAAGTAATAGTTCTTTACTTCCTACAATTTACAAGCCTGCCATTTGTCTTAATAGATGAAGTACAGGCATCGGGTCCTCGGATTAATACTTGTTTCACCCCTCTGCAGAGAACCTTCATGGACAGAATGGTTGTTGAATAAGGTTCCTTTTCTCAGCCTTTTTGTTTTTCTTTAGAGGTTAAATAATTATGTTCATAGATGAGACCTGATGTCATTTGCAGGTGACATCAAATTTGCTTTACTTCTACGGCATGTGTGGAGTGGTGAAGGATTTATTGCTTAAGCGGTACTTTAGCGAGGTATTCTATTTGTCAAGTTTATGGCACCTATTTTTAGAATTAGAGTGAATGTCTGATCAGGTTGTAAATGATCATGGCAGGAGGTTCGTGGTAGTGCTCAAGTACCAGAATCAGATATAGTTCAGGCTTGTAGAAGAGTTAGCCCCTAAACTCCCTAAACTCTTTGTTTTCTTCTTATTTATTATATGTTTTAATGTTTATGTGCTGAAGCAAAATCTGGACCCAAAGTTGGTGGGAATGCATTTCTCCAGTTATGGTTCCACATGAAACTTGCTGGGGTGCATCTCCCCCCATTTTGGAATAAAAATATTAGTAGTACGGGAGTTGTGAATTATGCAGCAATTCTCTTATGTTGTGTGTTTTCCTGTTCAGCTATTGGATGAAAGGCAGAGCACAAATGTTTGGCGATTTCTTGAGGCACTTAACGGGTAAATTCCAGCCTCTAAGATTGCTTCTTTCCACACACTCACACATATCTTATAGCTTTGACGGGCCCACAAGATGTTTGTGTAGTCAGTCTTGCACCCTCTGATTTTTGATATTCAGTTCAAATTTCAGAATACATGAATGCTTATGTTTGCATCTTTAAAATTGATAATGACCTGAAGTTGTCATCCATAGGGCTTGGGTCAATTTCTTGCATTCAGTGTTGCTTAAATAGGTTCTGTGTGGTGGGTTGCTTTCCTGGACAAGCATGTCATAAATGATATGATGCATGCATTCAGATTTATTTGCATCCATTCATTGATAAATATAATATCCGCGGTCTAGCAGGAGACCTGACCTTACGGAAGGATTGAGAAGCTTAAATTGCCGCTCCCTGATATTTGTTGGAGAGAACTCCCCATTCCATTCTGAGGCTCTTTACATGACATCAAAACTAGATAGAAGATACAGTGCCTTAGTTGAGGTATGTAAACACAATCTATGCTTATCATCATATTTTAGCTTTGCAAGATCATGTAAGGCAGCTTTAGTTACCCAAGAATTTTTGGAACCTACAGGTTCAAGCATGTGGATCCATGGTGACAGAAGAGCAGCCCCATGCGATGTTGATACCTATAGAGTACTTTCTCATGGGATACGGCTTATACAGGCCAACTTTAAGCGTCAGCCCGAGAAGCCCTTTGAGTCCATCTTGCATCTCTCCTGAGCTTCTTTCACCTGAAAGCATGGGTTTGAAGTTGAAACCAATTAAAACAAGAATCTCTGCCGAAGTATGAGAGAGGCAAGTTTTCCTTTTTGAACAAATTATGATGCGTAAAGTGTTTGTAACATGTTTTGACCTGTTGGATACATAAGAGAGAATCAGTAGAGGGGCTGTAGATAGAGAAAAAAGGGGGACGCAAAGTATAGACAGACGGGAGATATTTGCCATTCTTTTATTTTTCACGTGTTAGTTGAGGCCAAGCTGTCTGTAAATCCTTGGAATAATTATTTACTAGTGAAAAGCAATAATGATAATAAGGAGTGGTGAATTTATAGTTCTTTTTCTCTCATTGTAGACATTTTAGACAAGGGATTATTGTTTTTCTGAGGAGTTTAGCATCAGTGCTTAATTTTCAACTTCCCAGGAAAATGTTTTTAAAATAGTCTTATGCCATGGAAACCAAATTAAGAATTACTGAAAAATTTTTAAGATATTGCAGGCAATGGAACCGGTCTACAATTCACAGTCGGGCTGTGAACTGATATGATGAAATACCATCTTTAATGAGAATTACTCTGATCAAATTAGATAAACATAGTCCAGAGTGTTGTTCCTCGTAAAATAAATAGAAGATAAAAAATAGACGAAAAAAAATAGATGAGATTAACGAAAAATAATTATTTAAAGATGAAGATGAAAAGTAAAAAAGTGTCACCGAAAGTATGAAGAGTTTGAGTTAAGACGTGAATTAATCATTTTCTGTAAGACATTTCACGTTACTAGTGCAGCAGATTTTTTATAGTTATGCTGTTTCAAGATACAGCAGTTCAATCTTTTCTCGTTGTGTCTTTACAAATACTGTATATTGTAAAGAAAGCCCAACCCACTACTTTTTCCTAGCCCAAAAAGAGTTTAAAAATGTGTTTGTGAAATAAAGTGCAGCTTATGAAAAAATAGCATCAATCTTTTTTGTAGAAATGTAGGCTGCCTACTTATAGGCCTTCACACCACATAACCGGAGTAAATTAAAATGAGAAACCGTTGGAATTTAAAATAGCATTCGTCGGTTACAAAAAATTTGAAACAAGTGAGTAAAACAAATTTTAGAAACTGGTGAATGATTTGCATAATGTTGCTGGTTACGAAGTAATGCTGCCAGTTATAGCATTTGAATTTGATTTGATCTTTTTTTCCTTTAAGAAAGAAACGCACAAAACATTCTTAAAATAGGAAGGCATGGGTTTGCAACCGACACAGTTACTGCACTAATTTAAGGACCTTTATTGATGGAGACATTACCTATAAACTGCTCAAGTTATTCATTTGATTGCTGCAATTCTGCAAATGAGATGTGATAATGGAATTTTCTGTCAGGTAGCAGAAAATCCCCACTCCATCTCTTTACCAAAACTAGAATAATTGATAATCCACTTATCGCTGTCACCCTCAAGAATCGTCTTGTCAAAATCAAAAGCCAATACCACTCTTGCCATTGCCGATTCCACACCCAACTGGCCAACTCCATGAGTCTATGGTAATGGGGATGGAAGGTTATGGATGCTTCTGTATTACTGGGAAAAAGAAGAGTTTGATATGCATGCACCATATGTGAATTGCTTACAGCAAAGAAAGCATTATAAAGAGAGACCCTTTTGTCTTTGTTTCACATATGAAGTGGTTTTTTTTATTAGGAAACAGGAAATCCTTTTAATTTATTTAAAATTTTTAAGATAATATGCTGGTATATCCAAGTGTTTACATGATCATTTTCTTCAACTTGACACGAGTAAGGAAAATGAAGAAGACTATCCTTGCCACTTAAGAAAATTTATTTAAAAGAAAAAAAGAAAAAGAAAAGGAAAAGTAAAAACCAACAACAACAACAACAAACTCTTTGCAACCAAGTGAGGGTACAAGCAAGTGGATCAAAAGTTTTTTGTTTTGGAAGAACACGCAAACATGAGAAACCCTGACCATAGAAAAATAATTCATTGCAAATTTACTTGAAATCTTAATTAATAATAATGTGTTAATGAGGGATTCATTTGATGCTCAATAGAAGACAATTACTAATACATTTGCAGCCTTAAATTTCCAACTATAAGGAGCATTATATACAGTTGCAACCCTGACATGGACGTGTTTTTCTTCATTTCTCAGATTCAATTGACATTATATCTTTGACTGTTGATGCTCATCTGGTTTCTCCAGTTGTCTGTTCCCTCCCCATTTTCCCGGGCCTGCCTTCTGTTCATCTCTGAGTACATTTCCTCTATCATTGGTTTCCACAGACGAACACGGGCATTTATGAACCAATTGGAGACCTGGTCATATTCCAAAACATACACATGGAAACAATGAGATCATACCAAAGTGAATGCTTCCAAAGATTTCAACTTTGCACAGAACAACTCATGGTGTAGAACACTTCAAATGTGTTTCAACCCTTACATAAGATTTACAAAAAATGGAAGGCATTTAAGATATGGTACAACTATTTGAATTTTGAATAATCTAAAGATGCAACATAAGCTGTACCTGGCTTCTTGTCAATCCACTTTTTACTGCAAGTAAATGTTTCTCTGCATCTTTAGGGTACCTACAAACAAAAAGATCCATCAAAATGACAACCTTGCATGTTTCAATTATCATCTCACATACAGAAATGATATTTATGTGAGTACATGAACCTAGGGTAAATGTTTGTCATGCAAGGATGTAAAGGAAATTCTCTAGCAAGGGAGCTCACGGATGAAGGAAGTTCTGGAACATCCACGTGCGTAGAACTGAGACTGATTTTTCAGGCAACCCTCTCTGGGGTCTCCATAATTGATGCTCCTTCTTCTTTATCTGCTGTAGAGCCCATTGGTCCTGGATGAATGAGTTTTGGAAAGAGCTTTCCTTTCCCCTTGTGCATCCACTGTCAAAATTAGCTCCCATAGCTAGAATTTGGTTGCTGATCCTCTCCCTTAGGTTCTTATATAAGAAAGAGATTGTCTGTAGCGCAAAACGAGCATGGACCTGAGGATCCAATTCAGTTGCAGCATGGAAAGCAGATACAACTGTATGGATTTCGTCTAAGCACTGGCTGTATCTGTCATCAACCTGGTCCAAAATAAAGAATGAAAGCAATAGCAATTAACATACCAAAATACTTCATCTAAATAAGTTGAAAAGGAAACACGCAGTTTGTATCTCTAAATCAGGATAGTGATTGTTGCAAAACCAACTTTAACAATTGTGTTAGCAGCATTGATTAAACATACTGCTTGAAGTAAAGTTAGCAGTTGCGTTTTCTTTGCTTCAGCTGCCCGTTTTTCATATGCTGGCTCCATTTGGATCTGCAAGTTGCTGTCCAGGTCAGGAAGTTCATCAGAATCTGCAATTGACATCCATCTCCCAGCCGGATGACCTGATGAGGATGGCCTGTTTGCCCTGACCCCAGTTGAATAACTCATCTGGTCTAGATTTCCAAGAGAATAGCTTGCAATTTGAGCAAGTATTTCCTGAATGGCTTGAAGATATCTTGATCCGGATATCAGATGGGAGACTTGCTCTTGTCTATAAGAACCATAACTCACAGAAGGCTCCTTTGTGTTGCAGGAAGTCTGCTTCAAAGCCAATCTTGTTGCATTCAAGCAATGGCGGGTTGCATCAGAACAGCTTATCTCGGAGGATTGATCAGGGATATTTGTCCTACTAACGACAGCAGGCTCAGATGTAGTAAGACTTAGTGAGAGCTCACTACTAGTTTTGGAAGAGCCATAAGGATAATTGATGTTTACATTTTCTCCATTTGATGACATCCATCCATTTGGACCTATACAACCCATGGAAGGATATGGTTGAAATGTTGTTCTCAGAAGGGTCTTCCCACCAAGCTCTGAAGGAACAGAGGACTTCTCAAAACCCCACTTTCCATTCATATTCCCAGATGCCTCAGCAAATCCGCAGTTCAGAGAGGTCAGTAGTGGAGAATTTATTACATTGGAGCAGCCATTTGAAGTCCTAAAATCTGAAGGGTAAACTGTAGGTTCAGAAATTGCTAAATTGTTTAGGTTTTCTTGCAGACCACTCCTTGCTGCTGAAAAGGAAGCAAGGGAAGAAGAGGAGACAGGGATTTGACCCATGAATTGCTCTTGGAACCGAAGATTATCTGTCAATCGTGAACTGCCAAGTGAAGTATCTCCCTCAAGGCTACTCCCAAGGCATGTCACCGATGAATTAGAATCAATAAGCCTCGTCTGATTAATTATGTGGACGTTGCCGTGGAGATCAACAGCAGGATCTCCTCGCAATGTTGAAAGAACTGGAAATGCAGACAACATATTGTCTTGGTTGTTAAGATCACTTGGGTTGGATGCAGTTGCTGAGTATGGCATCATCTGTGACGATATTCCATCAATAACAACTGGATTTCGGCTTGCAATGGTTACTGGAAGGCTAAGCATATCGTTCTCCATCATACTTGAAGGCACAGGAAGTCACATGACATCTGGCATGAAGAGCTCCTAAATCATCCAAGTTCCTTAGACATCAACTGTCTATGAAACCGGATATTAGTTTCAGAAAAAGCTGCTTGAGTCTAACACTCTAGGGAGTTTCTTTGCCAAGAATCAGGGGAGAATGGAGATCCCTCTAATTTTCTTGGTATTGACACATAAAATTGATCAGGAAATGATCAACCATGAACATCACGGACCTGTAAAACTCATCATCATGGATGGAAATCAGAAAAATGAGGACATGATAAGAAGAACAATGCTTCATATGTTGGTATGGTAAATTAACCAGTGGAAGAAACTTACAAACACATAGCAACACTACTAATTTGAGATGATACATTATATCCAATGAATCTCTTATATTCGAAGGAATCGTGCCGAAATTTACCACCAAGTTCTTGTCAGAGTCATTATTTGTATGATTGATTTAGCATTTCAAAATATTATTGAGGACATTGAAATATACCCCACCCCCACTTGCAAAAGGATAATATTATGGATAGAGAAATCTTTCACCACAAATGAGAATGTTACAGAAACCAAAAACTAAGACCATCACAAACCCCATAATCAAGCCACTAGCACATACAGTTCCTGGCTAAATCATCCTTAACAGCCTTGAGTCGTACAAATCCATGGCACGCAAAATGATCTTACGGAACAGGGTTGCTAAAGAAAAGGAAGACTTGTGTAACTTTTTAAGACGAAATTTTTATCATGGAACTTAATGAAAAAGAAACCAGGAATTATGGGTGCTGGAGCAATCTTGCATTAACTAGAGAGAGAGGAAAATGACCAACCTTGCATTCAATGCAGAGCAGAACAGCCAGCACCTATCAAGGGACAAACCACTGAGAACAAGATGTTTTCTCCAACAACCTTGTCAAAAGAAAACACAAGAGAGTTGAGAAATTCGGGCAGATGCGTAGGATTTTCCCAATCTCCACTGATCAGAGAAGTGAAAAATCTTTCACCCTTTTCAAAAAATCATGTGGGTTAGTATGACCCTGCATGTAGGCTTTCCCCAGTCACCACCAAAGCAAGTTGTTGAAATGCAAAGTTCACAAGAAATCATTGGTTCCTCTCTTTCTCCATAAAAAGGTGTTGTAAAGGAAAAAGAGCCAGAAGACAATAGTGGTAAAAACTTTGTTCCTTCTTTAACAAAAAGAGCAAGATGAAAATAAGCTAACAGGACTCGTGCATTATCCTCCAACTTTCACAGACCACAAAAGAAATGAACAAAAAACAAGAGCCAAACAAAAAGAAAAGGAAGTGGGTTAATTTGTTTGCATGAACAGAAAAGTGGGTTTTTCTCCAAGAACCCAAAACCCAAGAAACTGAGATTCAAGGTCTCAAACCCCAACAAGATTCACAAAAGATTTAAAGCTCAAAAACACAAACAGGTGGTGAGCAAAAATAATATATATATATAAACACCCATCTCAGAGAAATGCAAAAGAACCCAATAAAAGAAAGAGAAACAAAAGGCGATTGATCAGAGAAATGAGGATGAATTTGAATGGACCCATTCATTAAGATAGAGAGAGAAAGAAAAAACCAGAAAAGAGTAAAAACAAGGGAAACACATTGCTCCTTGGTGCAGTGGCAGTGTGGCACTCATTTCTGCTGCAGGCTTTAGAGGGCCCATCTCTCTGATCTCCTTTGTCCTCCTCACTAACCCTCATTATCTGCTTCTCTGCAATCATCACAATCAAAATATCTGGATTCTCTCTGTTGAAACTCCTGTTCATGGCAGGTCGTCTCAGGCTCAGAACCATTTTTCAGAGAGAGTCCTTTGCTTTTTTAACTTATTTTAGACACGAAAAAAAGCAGAATGGTTGATGAGAAAGATGAGTAAACAGAGCAAGAAAAGGGTCACGCTTTCTCCCCCAGAATCTAACAACTAAAGGTTTAAGGCAAAATGCAATGTAGAAAGGGAGAAAAAACCAACTGTTCCATGGCAGTGTACGAATATGATGATGCAAGCAATGCCAAAATGTGATCTTTGAAAAATTCTTCGTTTGAGGCAATTACAACAAGGCCTATCCATCTATCCATCTACTGCCTCCTCCTCATCCTTCCTAGCATTGTTATGGGCCCACACACACCCAATCCAAGAGGAACAGTGCTCGACTCTTGATCATTATTATAAGTGTGTCCATAATCCCTACTACAATGATGAATACAGATCTTGTAAGTACTTACTCTGTCTTTTGATCTGAATCCCAATCCTTGATGAAATCAGTAAGGTTATGAATAGCTTCAGGTTATCAAAATATAAATTTATGTTGTTGGGACAGATCCGTTCCCCTAATAAAATATTGTTCCAACAGGTCCATAGTCAATGTTAACGAAAGTAAAAATTTTCAATTTGAGTCCAACAAAGTGAAATAAACAAGGCAAATGAGATATTATATGAAGAATTTCTATCATGTAATGCTATAACTATAACTTTTGGTTATATTGTAATATTAAATAAATATATATTATTTTATTTATAAATTTTTAAATAAAAAAATTAAATCTAATAATGAAATATTATTTATAATTTAAACTATGTTAAATTATAAAATATAAATACTTAAATAATAAATAAGATCTTTCAAATTAAAAGTTAATATAGTTTTAAATGCTAAAAAATTAAACTTATCCTATAATATCAAATTTCATTTTATTGCACATTGTATTTTTGTATTTAACATTACTGTACGTGTGGTATTCCCCCTATTTATTATGAATATGAATCTGTACTGATCTTCTGCCAAAACCTATATATGGAATGTCAATGTCAATGTCATATACGGTAGACTGAAAATTGAAGTGGTAAATATTATGGATGAAGTCCTCTATCCCTCTGCTTTCACGAAGAAAATAATGGAGTTCGAAATTGATCACATCACAATCACATGCAGCCTACGAAAAGGGATGGAGTAGTATCAGTTGTTGGTGTGTATTAAAGGCAATGAAATCGTGTTAGGTATTTTGCCTTCCACAAAATACTAATGCGCACATGTGTTCCCTCTGCTAAGTACAGATATGTTATTATTCACATCATTTTTTTTTTTTGTTTGTTTTTTTTGGAAGGACATGAAGATATTCATTGTGTTGCATTTTAATAGAATCTTTCTTTTAATTTGAACCCAACAGACTCGTGGAGAAAAAATTATTATAAGACAATGATGGTATTGAAGATTTTAGTTAAGATAAACTAAAAATGTGTTAGAGAAATAGACTGAATTTATTTTGGTATCAGAGATGTTTTGTCTGGTACATACTGTACTAAACTGTATAAAGCTAAAGCCTTCAATGGAGAAAGAGTTTCATGATTCATTTTTAATAGTATGATATAGTTAATATTTACTAAAACCAGGATCTCTTTTATTATTGATTTTGAGTATACGTACGTCGTCGGAGCTGGCAACCTCAATTTTGCTAAGCTTAATCTGATGGGCTCATGCTGCCGAAAAGAATACTGGGCTAAAGAGCCTATTGTGCTGGTGAGGAGGAGTCTGTTATGAGCCCTGGGAGTTTTCAATTCCTTGAAAGCGAAGACCCAATATTTTTGCTCAAAAAAACTGAACCATTAATATATGAGTCTGATGTGTTGAAAAGACTACAAAACATGAACTTTTAAATGAATAAAAAAAATTAAAATGTTAAATATTAAAGAGTTCTTCACAAATTTAAAGGTAATTAATTTAAAGTTTGATGCAGTTTAAATTGTAAAATAATTTTTAGTTAATATATTATTCAATAGACCAAAATACAAATAAATAATGAAATTATTTTTTTTTTCAAAGAGAAAAAAATGAAGAGGATTTTGGTCGATGCTCATCATTAACACTTGTTTTCTGCAGACCAGTAATTTAATCTTTTTGTGGAAGTAATGAAATGTGACAGGTGTCTGTTGCAATGAAATTACGTATACAAATTAAAAGAGGAAAAATGGTTTTGATGCAGCTGAGAAAGATTGAAGAGAAATCTGTTTGTTAGTCACATGTTATGTGAAGTTGCTCACTAACTTTGCATGAGAAAGTTGAAATATTGTGAAAGTTTGACATTGAAGCCTCACGAAAAGTGATTGCACCAAATTGCCCAACTATTTATTCATTAACCACAACAAATAAAAACTTGAGTATGTAGTATGAATTATGACTAATTACAATATAAGAGATGGACTCAAGTTATACCCAATATTTACATAAAATCCTAACAATTAATTAATCTCTTCACTATAAATAACTAAGATGTATCTATTTTTAATCATTTTTTTTAAAGATAATTGTCTCTTCTTTAAAAAATATGATAAATTTTAATTATTTATAATAAAAATAAATAATTATAATTTTATGTAAGAGAATACTTAACAATAATACACAACAAGCAAAGGTTTTATACTCAAATCATGATGGTACTTGAAATGATAGGATGGAAAGACTTCTATAACCCACCAATATAAAAAAGGCTGATGAAGAGTTTCCATCATTAATCCTTCCCTTCAAATTAACAAATTAAGGAGTTCAATCCAATCCAATAATCCAATGCAATGCATGCCTATACATGAGCTCACTTGCAATTTTCATGCATCTATATTTAAGAATAATATAAAATTGATTGTTTTTCACCATTAATCAAATAATCAAAAGGAATTTATCTTCAATATATGATGTGAAAATTAAATTCATCTTCAATACTAAAACAAGATTTCGCGTTAATCATTTTTTGTGTACATATTGGGTTAATCATATTTATTGAAGAGAAAATTATATAACATATTTGCAAATATATAACATTCCACAGCAGTAATACAATTATATATG